GCACAGGGAACTATATTCAATATACTGTAGTAACTTATGGTGGAAAAGAATATGAAAAAGAACATATGTAGGTTCATGTATGAAGCATTGTGCTGTACACCAGAAATTGACAACATTCTAAACTGACTGTATATATATATGAATAAGATTTTAAAGAAAAGCAGGTTTTCAGGGACTGTCATCTTTTTAGCTGCTGTAGTTTATTATTTGAATATTTATAAGGAAGATAGAATGCTTCAGACTCATAGGAGTACATACAGGAGATATTAAAAGCTGGGCCTTACCTTCCCAAGTTGCTGCTCCGTGAGAGAAAACGCATCCATGAATGCCTGGGCAATGACTGACAAGCAGCCATCTATGTGTGGCGTCTTCTTAATGTCAAAGACAAACTGAGGGTTCTTCAGGATGTTTACCCAGAAGCGAAGAGGAAGGCTGTTCCAAGAGAGAGGAATCTCTTTTCAAATACTGCCATTCATATGAGGCAGATGCTCTGTTTATCACAGTTTGTAAACGGGTGTTTTTGTCCTTGTTACTGAAATATGCAAGTCTGCTTTGCCAAATACACCCAGCAACAGATGGCAGCATCACTCAGAACGAGAAAGGGTTAAACTGTCAGAGCAACTGAAGAGGGGAACTGGAGAAGTCTGAAAGTGGCTGTTGACAAGACAAGAATTTTCTCCACACAGGTCCAGGTGATACCAGATAATGGTTACCAGTGAGGACGTCTCATCAGCTCACCTACCTCTTGTCACCCACCTCGGTGCTGTCCCCTGGCCTAAGCCACCATCATCTCCCAGCTCCCAACAGTTAATTGTCCGCAACCACCAGCAATCCTGACAGAATCCGATGCTGTCCCTCTGGCTCTCCATCCCTCTCTGGATAAAACCCCTGCATGATCTACTCTTCACCTTACTTGTTCCAGCTCCACCAGCCTCTCCGCTATTCTGCGTGCATACCAGGCCAGATTGTGCCTCAGAACTCTGCTTTTGTCCATCTTCTTGAAACTGTCTTGGTTTATACGCTTTCAAGACCTGACCACCCTGTCCTTGTCACTTTCTATCCTTTTTCCCCCCTCCCTGCACTGCACTAATCACCTTCTAATATACTACCATTTACCAATTAAAATCCAGGCTCTGTGAGAACATGGATTTCTGTTTAGTTTATTACTGCATCTCCAGCACCTAACGGTACTTGGCACACAGCACTCAAATAAATAATCTAAATATGAATGTGGGAGTCAGTCCTTCCATTTGCTTTTTTCTCAGCTCTGGCTTAGCTAATTACCTCCATCATATAGGCTCTGGGCCTCTCAGTAGCTCTGGAACTTTTGCTTTTAATACTTATTTAAAACAGTCTGGCTAACCTTAATGCTGAGAAGGGCTTGTGCCTACACTGGGAAGTTTTGTTACATTGTAATTCTGAGTCTTACTCAGCTTATGCACAAAGTATTGCGATTAGAGGTAATGAGCTATGTTTCTTTACTAAGGAGAAATTTAGAATAAATTTGGATGCCTTGCCTCAGCTTAAGGTAAAGTGTTAAAAAAAAAAACAACCCAACCCTTTGACTAATTCTCATGGTATCTGAGTACTGCATTTGATCAAATAAAAGCAGACATTTCTATACAGAATCAGAGTGTAGAAAGATAGCTTGGAAACTGCAAAGTGATTAATTCTCTGAGGGACAAATTTAAGAGCCTTCTCTAATGGAAAATTGTATGCTAAAAACCACAAAATGTTAATTTCTCATCTTTTGCTATTCAAGCTAAACTTGTTTGAACATTCCATACAAAGTCTTTTTTATGCATTAAAGATAATGGAGTTTGTTTATTTTGTCCTAAAGAATAGAATTCTCAGCACAGGAATGGTTTTGTTTATTGCTTAAAAATAGTAATAAAGCCAGAAACTGCTTTGACATGATAGCTTACGAGCCAAAAAATTCTGATGGAGGGATAAATGAATCCTCCACAACTATCTATGCCCTTCTTCTAGACTGTCCCAGATTCTTGAGAACAGTCACTAACCCCCTACTGTTTTGTTCCCACCTGTTTGTTTTCCAAATATGTACGACATCAGGGTCGGTGATCTTTTTGCTTTCAGCCTGGGCGTCCAAAAAGTCAAAAAAGTACTTTATAGCAAACGGGGCTCTGCTGTTGGGTAAACTCCAAATGCTTCTAAAGAGTTTTTCAAGCACAGAGTGAATTGCCACCTGAAAGACAGAGAACATCAGACTTGGAAGATTAAAAAATAGGGTAGTGGTTTTGAAAACACGAAAAACGAAATCCAAGTCCAGAGATAATGATGTACAAAATGGAGACAAACAAGCCGAAGACTAAGTATGCAAAATTGTCACATGAGGCCAACACTCACAGTATAAGACAAAGGTCCTGAAAATCCACACAGGTTGATTTGGTCATAAGCTTCTTGCTGATAACACTGTTCAGTCAATAGGAGGCTATCTCAGACATCTCTAGCAGTTGAAATGTCAGTTGTAGGGCTGTATACATAAACCAAGAAGCCATGGATGTTTGGCTTTTATTAGTTATGTTCAGCCTGGAAAAACTCAAGGGATGGTGCTTGGTTCCCAGAATATTTCCTATTACATATATTTACATCATAGGCTTTTACTGTGTACTTTCCAAAGCATTTGAGCGTTTTACAAAAACCAAATAGGCAGAGATCTGTGGGACAGATGAGAAAATCGAGAGGCTCTGGCTGTCCTCCACCCACTAAACGAATCAACCACGCTCTAAGCAGATGCTCTGCTGTAATCGGAAGACGCATGCCCATCAGGAGACCTGGGCCAGGTACAGATAACAGCATTTATGTTGCTTGTCATTTTGGGGGTGGGGGTGGGGAAGGATCACCACAGACTTCTGTTAATCCCACTAAAAACCAGGTAAAGTAAAATTTGCTCCTGATTTGGCATTCCACTGGCTTTCACATCTGACACTTCTATATGTGAACAGAATTCTAAGCTCTAAAATGACCTCCTGCCACCCTCCCCCCTTCACTTTATTTGCAATTCAAAGAGGGAGTTTTACTGTTCATCTATAATAACAAGTAAACAAAAAGGAATAATTATGCTGTGAACCTGGAAAGTAACAATAGGGCAATGGTGGGTAAAGGGATTGAGAACAATATTAAATCTCTGATTGAAGATGCTACAGTAGGAATTTGTAAAGTGCTTTATCTTTGCAGTTTATAAAAGAAGGGGGTAGGAAGTGTTTACAATTTAAACTTTCATTTTGCTTTGCTAGAAGGCACAGGGGATTTGTAACATTTTCACACTTCAGTGGAAATTAAGTCAAACACATCATACACCCCCAAGGTAGCCGTAAAAGCGGTCCCAGAACAGTTAAGTGTACCTTGGTCGACAACAGCTTTGTCAGATACATTTCTTTTACTTTGAACTTGTGCTTCCCTCGATGTCTCTTTCCTTGTACATCTTGGAATGCTTCCGAATCTGGTAAAATCTAAAGGGATAACAGAGTAGCAGCGTTACCCAAGGAGACTGTGATATGGAAGGCATCCGATGCAGCTGGAGCACAAGAAAGCCTAAACTCACCAAATGGCAGTGGTCTTCTGAGTATTCCACATCTGAACACCACAGAAAGAGGGAGAGAAAATAATCCGTTAAAAAAAAAACACAACTACAGGCTAATTGGCCTTCTCATAAAATGCCCCGTTTATGCTATAAACAGAAGAGGATACTTGAGCTCTTCATAGCTACACCCCTCCCCCCCAGCCCCACAATGTGTCTTAAGCCCTTAGGAACAGTGTAAAGACTGGGTGGGCCAGGGACTGGAGTGGGAAGCAGGTTCCCCATCACTGGAAGTGTTAAAACAGAGGCTGAATGACCACTTGAGGGTGGGAAAGGAAAGGTTCAGGTCTCACTCATTTAACAAGTAGACCTGGAGCCCCTGCTGTGTGCCAGGGGCTACCAGGCTAACAGCAGAGTAAGACAGACGTAGCTCCTGTCCTAAAGGAATTCATATCCTAGCCAATGAAATTCATACTAATTACACGCTTGATTAATATCCATGTGGTAAGGATTGTAGAGAAGAATTATATGCTGAGAAAGTAACAAGGGAACAACTTAGCCTGGGAGGGTCTCAAAGGGATGTTGCAGCTGAACCGAAATGAATAGACGGTGAGCCAGGCAAATGGGGGAGGGGAATGGGTGCAAAGGCCCTGAGGTGCGAAGGAATGCGACCCCTTCTAGGATCAGAGAGAAGGGCAACAAGGTAGAGGTCAGAGCAAGTGGGAGAGCAGAACCGAGTGAGGACAGTCTGGGAAGAAACACAGCTGTTGGAGGAGCGGTAAGTGCAGGGAAGGGAGGAAGGCACTGGCTTTTTGTTTTGAAGATGAGACTAGATTATCTTGACATGCAAATGGAAGGTGGAGGAACACCAAATGCAGGTGAGAGAAGAGCTGATTGGTGGTATAAATGCTCAGAAGGCCAGAAAGGACGGCGTGATCCAGAGCACAGGTGAGAGGCCTTGGGAGGAAGGGCAACCCTGGCCTGTGGAGGAGCGAGGAGGAGGGACCAGCCAGGCGCGGGCCGGGGGGGAGGTTTGGTGCCGGCTGCTGAGGGAATTCTGATTTGTTTTCTCTGTGGAAAACTGAGTGAAGTCGTCTGCTGATATGGGGAGCTGCAGGGTCAGAGCTCTGAGGAGACATGGTGGGATTATGGAGAACACAGGGTGAGGCCTGAAGAAGCAGGGTGGTTACACTGAGGGCCCTGGTCGAGTCAGTCAGCATGAATTTATAATGACTCCAACTGTGCTCCTGCGGGCCTTTCTGCCGCGACTACCTGGCTGTAGGTTCAGGGAAGGCTGGTGGTTAGATTCATCCAGGGCTGGGATTTTGACGGGGTGATGAAAGGACAGAGGGGCAAGGGTTTTAGAGCAGTAGAAGGAGAATGATGAAAATGATGGCTCTCGGCTGGACAGGGCAGGGAGGAAGCAGAGGTATTGATTGCCTCGAGGTCGCATAAAGAGATCCAAATACAAGATCTCCAGATAACAAGTTCTCAAAAGGCCAGTCTCTGAAGCCTAAAACACACAGCTTTCCCACTTACTACAGCACAAGGGTATCAGTCCTCCGAGGCCAGAAAGACAGCCACCCTCTGTGAGATGGCTTCTCTCACTACAGCCTGATGTATGGATGCTGGGGTCCCCCAAAGGGTGTCTAACAACCTACTAAGTTATCCTGTTTAACTGGGAGCCCTGTGTCCCCCGTTTGCAGTCACCAGGTGTTGGGATAGGGGTGTGTGTGTGTGTGATTGAGTGTCTGGAGACAAACCTGGAATGGATTTAGGGATTTTCTCAAGGCACTGTCACGGTGTTTTCCTGCCCCGAATAACAGGGAGGTAGAAGAGAGTTTTTGTTAACTTTCCCACAAAAGACCCCTCTGTACTTGGCCTATCACTAGGAGATTTGGGCTAAGTGAATTATCTTATTTGTTCAGAGCTTGCAGGGCTGTGTGATAATCTGCAGCTTCCTTCAGTTTGCCAGCGGGATCCCCTCTGTTAGCCCCATCCTACCGAAGAGATGGAATAGTTACAACGGCTAAGATCCTGCCCTGAGTTTAGGGCTGTTAATGACAGTAACTTCCTCAGGGCGGGGCGGGCAGCCCTGGGCACCTCCTGTTTACAGCTTCCTGTCCTCTTTGCAGGGCTCATGTTCTTAGGGCCAGAAACAGAAACGACTTTGCTCTCAGAGAATCACATGGCAAAAGCTCCACCTCATCTTTGTGACAATACATCTAAGAGAGCAAAAAGCGATACTTTATAAAGCTCGGTAAGAACAAAAGGTTAACACGTCGGTTACCTGAAGTAAAATTTGCTATCTTCTTAAAGACTTTTATAGTAGATCCATTTGATATCTGAAAGCAGAGATAAAAAATAGATGAGTTTTCAAAATTTAATGTATTTCTCAACTTCACCCGGGAATTAGATGGCTGGATGGATCTTACATTCTCTCTTATTCAATGAAATATTTATCAAGACTTCCTATGTTCCAGGCATTGGAGGCTGGGATGCTAATGATGAGCAAGACACTGTCTCTGCCCTCAAGGAGCCCACGGTCCTGTGAAGGAGGTAAATCAGGCCATGAGATACAGTAAGGCAAGTGCTGGAAGGTGGAGGCCAGGATGCTGTGGGACCAAAGGGAGGTGGGCCAGCCCTGTACCAGGGGAGGACTCAGCTGTGCTGGGATGCACCAAAGCCTCTCAGAAATTAGGAGATGCTTGGGCTACTTGCATTTTTTGAGGTTCCTACTATATTAAGAAATGCTGAAACAAGTTTTCAAAATCTGGCCAATAAAGTTGGTGTCTCCCCTATGACAGAGCAATTTCTTATCTAGGTAAATAAATAAATGAATGAATGAATGAATGAATGAATGTACATATCCTGAAAGTACACTTTGTAAATGCCCCATACTGCAACCAACCCAAATAGCCATCAGCATTAGAATGAATAACTAATTTGGGGTATATTCGTAAAACAGGTTATGATAAAAAATGAAAATGAGCA